TTTCACAAATCTGATTCCAACAAAAAGCGACCGTATTAATAATTCAGCCTTGAGAAGAATGCTAAGTTGAAAGAAAGATTTGAGAAAGAACGATTCTGTTAAGAGTGGGAGGATGAGGAAGAGTGGAAGGAGTACAGAGAAAAACTGAAAGTAAAAGGGAGGGACTAAGAGAGTAAGAGAAAAAGAAAAGATACAATAGAGAAAAAAAAATGAAAAAAGGAAATACTGGCGGAGATAAAAAAGCGGGTGACGAAGAGATAGATAGATACATAGATAGAAAGATAGAAAGAGAAACAAAGAAGTCGTCGAAAGCAAAGAAGCAATCAAGAAGGAGAAGGAGGAGAGTCAAAGAATAACGAAGGGAAAGGAAGATATAGAAAAATACAAAAAAGACGCGAGGAGAAAAAGCGGACAAGAAGAAGGAGGAAGAGGAGGAGAGGGAGAAGAAGGAGACGGAATGAAAAAGGAAGGCAGATGAGACGGTGAATAAGAAAAGAAAATGAAAAGAAAATGAAGGATGAAAAGGTTGAAAAGAGAAGAAGAGGAGGAAGAAGAAAAAAGGCCAGCAGGACTAAGAAGAAGAGGAGGAGGAGTAAGGAAAAGAGAGGAGGAGGAATGGAAAATGGTTGACAACGATCAGGAGTAAGAAAAACAGGAGGAGAGGGAGGAGGATAAAAGAAGAAAAAGAAGAGGAGGAGGGTAAAAGAAGAAAAAGAGGAGTAGGAGGATAAAGGAAAAGAAGCAGACGACGAGCAAGAGTCAGGAAAAGAGGAGGAGGAGGGTAAAAGAAGAAAAAGTGGAGTAGGAGGATAAAGGAAAAGAATCAGACGACGAGCAAGAGTCAGGAAAAGAGGAGGAGGAGAGTAAAAGAAGAAAAAGTGGAGTAGGAGGATAAAGGAAAAGAAGCAGACGACGAGCAAGAGTCAGGAAAAGAGGAGGAGGAGAGTAAAAGATGAAAAAGTGGAGTAGGAGGATAAATGAAAAGAATCAGACGACGAGCAAGAGTCAGGAGAAGAGGAGGAGGAGGTAAAAGAAGAAAAAGTGGAGTAGGAGGATAAATGAAAAGAATCAGACGACGAGCAAGAGTCAGGAAAAGAGGAGGAGGAGAGTAAAAGATGAAAAAAGTGGAGTAGGAGGATAAAATAAAAAAGAATCAGACGACGAGCAAGAGTCAGGAAAAGAGGAGGAGGAGGAAAAGTAAAAGATGAAAAGTGGAAGTAGAAGGACAAAAGAAAAAAGCAGACGACGAGCAAGTGTCAGGAAAAGAGGAGGAGGAGAGGATAAAAAGATGAAAAAGTGGAGTAGGAGGATAAAAGAAAAGAAGCAGACGACGAGCAAGAGTCAGGAAAAGAGGAGGAGGAGAGTAAAAGATGAAAAAGTGGAGTAGGAGGATAAAAGAAAAGAAGCAGACGACGAGCAAGAGTCAGGAAAAGAGGAGGAGGAGGGTTAAAGAAGAAAAAATTGGAGTAGGAGGATAAAAAGAAAAGAAGCAGACGACGAGCAAAAAAACAGGGAGGAGGAGAAAAAAAGAGGAGGAGGATAGGAGGATAAAAGAAAAAGAAAAAATTGAAAAAGGAGGAGGAGGATAAAGGGAAATAAAGGAAAAGAATCAGACGACGAGCAAGAGTCAGGAAAAAGAGGAAAAGGAGGGTAAAAAAAGAAAAAAAGTGGAATAGGAGGATAAAAGAAAAGAAGCAGACGACGAGCAAGAGTCAGGAAAAGAGGAGGAGGAGGGTTAAAGAAGAAAAAGTGGAGTAGGAGGATAAAGGAAAAGAAGCAGACGACGAGCAAGAGCAAGAAAAACAGGGAGGAGGAGGTAAAAAATGAAAAAAAGAATTGGAGTAGGAGGATAAATGAAAAGAAGCAGACGACGAGCAAAAAGCAAAAGTAAGGAAAAAAAAAAAGGAGGAGGAGGATAAAAAAAGAAGAAAAACGAGTGGAAAAGGAGGATAAAAGAAAAAGTGGAATACGACGAGCAAGAGTCAAGAAAAGACGACGAGGAAGAGGGTAAAAAAGGAAAAAAAAGAAGAAAAAAGAATAGGAGGATAAATGAAAAAAGCAGACGACGAGAAAAAAAAGAGGAGGAGGGAAAAAGAAAAAAAGGTAGGAGGAAAAGGAAAAGAAAACGACGAGCAAGAGTAGGAGGATAAAAAAAGAAAAAAAGCAGACGAAAAAAAGCAGACGACGAGCAAGAGTCAGGAAAAGAGGAGGAGGAGAGTAAAAAAGAAGAAAAAGGGTAGGAGGATAAAAGGAAAAAGCAGACGACGAGCAAGAGTCAGGAAAAGGAGGAGGAGGGTAAAAGAAGAAAAAGTGGAGTAGGAGGATAAAAAGAAAAAAGAAGCAGACGACGAGCAAAAGTCAGGAAAAAGAGGAAAGGAGGGTAAATGAAGAAAAAAGTGGAGTAGGAGGATAAAAAGAAAAAAGCAGACGACGAGCAAAGTCAAGAAAAAAGAGGAGGAGGAGGGTAAAAAAAAGAAGAAAAAAGTGGAGTAGGAGGATAAAAGAAAAGAAGCAGACGACGAGCAAAAAGTCAGGAAAAGAGGAGGAGGAGAGAGTAAAAGAAGAAAAAAGTGGAGTAGGAGGATAAAAAGGAAAAGAAGCAGACGACGAGCAAAAAGTCAGGAAAAAAGGGAGGAGGAGAGTAAAAAGAAGAAAAAAGTGGAGGAGGATAAAAGAAAAAAGAAGCAGACGACGAGCAAGAGTCAGGAAAAGAGGAGGAGGTAAAAGAAGAAAAAAGTGGAATAGGAGGATAAAGGAAAAAGAAGCAGACGACGAGCAAGAGTCAGGAAAAAGAGGAAAGGAGAGTAAAAAGAAGAAAAAAGTGGAGTAGGAGGATAAATGAAAAAAAAGACGACGAGCAAGCGTAAAAAAAAAAGGAGGAGGAGAGTAAATGAAGAAAAAAAAATGGAGTAGGAGGATAAAAGAAAAAGAATCAGACGACGAGCAAGAGTCAGAAAAAAAAAAGGAGGAGGGTAAAAAGATGAAAAAGTGGAGTAGGAGGATAAAGGAAAAGAAGCAGACGACGAGCAAGAGTCAGGAAAAGAGGAAAAGGAGAGTAAAAGAAGAAAAAGTGGAGTAGGAGGATAAAAGAAAAGAAGCAGACGACGAGCAAGAGTCAGGAAAAGAGGAGGAGGAGGGTAAAAAGAAAAAAAAGTGGAGTAGGAGGATAAAGGAAAAAGAATCAGACGACGAGCAAAAGTCAGGAAAAAGAAAAAAGAGGAAAAGGAAAAGAGAGTAAAATAAATGAAAAGAAGCAACGACGAGCAAGCGTAAGAAAAAGATAAAAAGGAAAAAATGAAGAAGAAAAGCAAGTGAGGATAAAAGAAAAGACGACGAGCAAAAGTCAGGAAAAAAAAAAGAAGAAAAAAAGTGGAGTAGGAGGATAAAAAAAAAGAAGCAGACGACGAGCAAGAGTAAGGAAAAGAGGAGGAGGAGGGTAAAAAAAGAAAAAGTGGAGTAGGAGGATAAAAAAAAAAAAGAAGCAGACGACGAGCAAGAGTCAGGAAAAGAGAAAGGAGGGTAAAAGAAGAAAAATTGGAGGGAGGATAAATGAAAAGAAGGAGACGACGAGCAAGCGTAAGAAAAAAAAGAGGAGGAGGAGGGTAAATGAAGAAAAAGTGGAGTGGGAGGATAAAAGGAAAAGAAACAGACGACGAGCAAGAGTCAGGAAAAGAGAGGAGGAGGAGGGTAAAAAGATGAAAAAAGTGGAGTAGGAGGATAAATGAAAAAAGAGCAGACGACGAGCAAGCGTAAGGAAAAAAAGGAAAAGGAGGGTAAAAAAAGAAAAAGTGGAGTAGGAGGATAAAAGAAAAAGAATCAGACGACGAGCAAAAGTCAGGAAAAGAGGAGGAGGAGGAGGGTAAAAAAAAAGAAAAAGGGAGTAGGAGGATAAAAGAAAAGAAGCAGACGACGAGCAAGAGTCAGGAAAAGAGGAGGAGGAGGGTAAAAGATGAAAAAAAAAAGTAGGAGGATAAAGGAAAAGAAGCAGACGACGAGCAAGAGTCAGGAAAAGAGGAAAGGAGAGTAAAAGAAGAAAAAGTGGAGTAGGAGGATAAAAGAAAAGAAGCAGACGACGAGCAAGAGTCAGGAAAAGAGGAGGAGGAGAGTAAAAGAAGAAAAAGTGGAGTAAGAGGATAAAGGAAAAGAATCAGACGACGAGCAAGAGTCAGGAAAAGAGGAAAAGGAGAGTAAAAGAAGAAAAAGTGGAGTAGGAGGATAAAAGAAAAGAAGCAGACGACGAGCAAGAGTCAGGAAAAGAGGAAAAGGAGAGTAAAAGAAGAAAAAGTGGAGTAGGAGGATAAAAGAAAAGAAGCAGACGACGAGCAAGCGTAAGAAAAAGAGGAGGAGGAGGGTAAATGAAGAAAAAGTGGAGTAGGAGGATAAAGGAAAAGAAGCAGACGACGAGCAAAAGTCAGGAAAAGAGGAGGAGGAGGGTAAAAGATGAAAAAGTGGAGTAGGAGGATAAATGAAAAGAAGGAGACGACGAGCAAGCGTAAGAAAAAGAGGAGGAGGAGGGTAAATGAAGAAAAAGTGGAGTAGGAGGATAAAGGAAAAGAATCAGACGACGAGCAAGAGTCAGGAAAAGAGGAGGAGGAGGGTAAAAGATGAAAAAAATTGGAGTAGGAGGATAAATGAAAAAGAAGTAGACGACGACCAAGCGAAAAAAAAAATAGGAGGAGGAGGGTAAATGAAGAAAAAGTGGAGTAGGAGGATAAAGGAAAAGAAGCAGACGACGAGCAAGAGTCAGGAAAAGAGGAGGAGGAGGATGGTAAAAAAAGATGAAAAAAGTGGAGTAGGAGGATAAATGAAAAAAACAGACGACGAGCAAGAGTAAGAAAAAGAGGAGGAGGAGGTAAATGAAGAAAAAAAATGGAGTAGGAGGATAAAAAGAAAAAGAATCAGACGACGAGCAAGAGTCAGGAAAAAAAAAGGAGGAGGAGGTAAAAAGATGAAAAAGTGGAATAGGAGGATAAAAGAAAAAAGCAGACGACGAGCAAGAGTCAGGAAAAGAGGAAATGGAGAGTAAAAAGAAGAAAAGTGGAGTAGGAGGATGAAAAGAAAAACGACGAGCAAGAGTCAGGAAAAGAGGAAAAAGAGGAAAAAGAAGAAAAAAAGTGGAGTAGGAGGATAAAAGAAAGAAGCAGACGAAAAAAAAGAGTCAGGAAAAGAGGAGGAGGAGGGTAAAAAGATGAAAAAAAGTGGAGTAGGAGGATAAAGAAAAGAAGCAGACGACGAGCAAGAGCAAGAAAAACAGGGAGGAGGGTAAATGAAGAAAAAAAGCAAGAAAAACAGAGAGAGGGCAGAAGAAAAGTGGAGTAGGAGGATAAATGAAAAGAAGCAGACGACGAGCAAGCGTAAGAAAAAGAGGAGGAGGAGGGTAAATGAAGAAAAAGTGGAGTAGGAGGATAAAGGAAAAGAATCAGACGACGAGCAAGAGTCAGGAAAAGAGGAGGAGGAGGGTAAATGAAGAAAAAGTGGAGTAGGAGGATAAAGGAAAAGAAGCAGACGACGAGCAGGAATAAGAAAAAAGCTGAGAGGGAGGAAATAATAATAATAATAATAATAAGAAGAAGAAGAAGAAGCAGAAGAAGAAGAAGAAGAAGAAGAAGAAGAAAACGAAAGGAGGAAGATAAAGAAGAGCAGAACATTATGAAAAACGCAGATTGTATCGTACAACAAATATGGTAATATGAAGAAAAAAAAACTCTAGTAGAAGACAAGACAGAGAGGGAGAGAGGGAGAGAGAGAGAGAGAGAGAGAGGAAGAAAAAATTCGAGAGCAAATGTGAAAGGGGAAAACAGAAAGAAAGAAGAGGTAAAAAATAAAAGTAGCATGATTTCCAAAATGGCGTCCGTTTTCGACTATTCCGCCAAGTCTGTAGCATACTCTTCATCTTTTATGCGCAGTGTAAATTGCCTGGTCTTGATATTTTACCAAATCACTCCCGTCTTGCATAAAACCTTGATGCATAATATCATCCAAACATAACATTCAGATGAAGGACATAAAAGTATAATTATTAAGATACATCTCGCTCATTCGAACTTCGTATATGTCACTGACTGCTGGACAAGCTTCTCACGGACGAGGAGAAAACTAGAGGCAGCAGAAATTTCGTACTACAGAAGGATACTGGGAATTCTATTGACGGGGCGAATCAGCAACAAATAAGACTTAATGAAAATGGCAACAGAAAGAAACGCTTATACTCAAAATCAGGAAAGACACATGACGAGGAAAGGAGGGTTGGAAAACTTAACACTCAGGGGGCTTATGGAGAGCAAGAGAAGAAAGCAGCGAGTCACTTACCTGACAGACTTGTATGAATGGATGGCGGAACCTGATTGGTGGGTGTTAGCCTTGGCAAAGGGGATAGGAAGTTGTGGAGATCCATATGCCTGTAAGAGTCCTGTCAGAATATTAACATTATTTCATGGCCGAAAATTACATATTCATAGAAAATAAAATGTTCGTTTTCAAGTTATCCAGTTTTTTTTTCATAGGATTTTAGAAAATTTACTACCGTTTTTAAAGTCAGCAGTTGAGGGGGAGGGTTTCCTCGATGGAATCAACTGCGCCTCGAGTTCCCGACCAAGGCAAGTCGTCAATTCGGATTATGTCGGCTGCGGTCTAACCTGGAGAGGGATGTGCTCTGCCTGATCTACTTAGCGCAAAGCATGAATAAATATCTACCTAGGCATCTGTGGGGGTGGGGGCAGTGCTGGTCAGGTGTTCAGCTACCCAGCGACCCTACGACCACATCCGATCATGGGACTGATGATGAGGATGAACATTGTTCTACGGCTCAATAACCTAGTGGATTAAAGGTGTTGGTTTATTGTTTGTGAGTTCAATCCCTGGGTCGGGCAGTGTGTACTTGCACTCAGTGGAAACCGGTGATCAATAACTGAACACTAAATAAGAACTAGATGATATCTCCAAACATGTGTAGGGGAACGTGAACATTCTATCACCGTAGATTAAATAAAGGGTTCAGTTCAGAATTCCCTGTAGCTTACCCAGATCGATATGGACCTGAGGAAGTTCAGTGGTCACAACGGCCGAAACGTTGTGATAACAACACAGATGAGGAAAATATTACGAATATAAATAGTGTAAATAATGATGAATATTGCTGTTATATTACATATTATATTATATTATAAATCTGAATATTGTTTTATATATTATGTTATATGAATATGAATATTGTTGTTATATTTTATATTATATCATATAAATTTAAATATTGTTCTTATATATTATATAAATATGGATATTATATTATATATTATATAAAATGAATATTGTTGTTATATAATATATTATATTATATAAATATGAATATTGTTGTTATATAATATATTATATAAATATGGATATTTTTTTAAATATATATATTATATAAATATGAATATTGTTATATTATATATTATATAAATATGAATATTGTTGTTATATTATATAATTATATTATATAAAATATGAATATTGTTTGCTATATATAATATTATATTGTATTATATAAATATGAATATTGTTGTTATATAATATATTAATATAAATATAATTGTTATATGATATATTATATTATATATTATATAAATATGAATACTATTTATATTGTTATATGATATTATATTGTATTATATTGTTAATATTATATAAATATGAATATTGATATTATTGTATATTATATATTAATATATATTATATATATTGTTGTTATATATTGTATTATATAAATATGAATATTGTTGCTATATAATATATTATATTATATAAATATGAATATTGTTACTATATGACATTATATTGTATTATATAAATATGAATATTGTTATATTATATATTATATAAATATGAATATTGTTGTTATATTATATATTATATTATAGATATATATTTGAGATGTATAGAAAGACCAATAAGGTTTTGCACCAAATAAATTTCCATTAGATGTCCTACGAAGATTCATTATTGGCGACAACAGTCTTAACAACATAGGAATGCAGATGACATAGTGTTGATAGCAGACACTGAAAGAAAGAAAACTACAAAAATTCCTACAGAAGGTAACGAAGGAAAGCAAAAGTAGAAAGGATTAGGCATTAACTGCAAGAAAACAGAGTGCATGGTTCTTTGCCAAGAATAAACTGAAAGTGCCAATTGCAAATTCGTTGACATCAAAATCAAACAAGTGAGTAGATTTAAATAACTGGGAAGTGTTTTAACAGAGGACAAGGAAAAAAAGCGACACTGAAATCCGAAGACGTATTGAGATAGCCAAGAAAGCATTTCAAAATCTAAGATTTCTGAGAAATAGTGGTCACAACGGCCGAAACGTACCTTAATAATTATACTTTTATGTCCTTCATCTGAATGTTATGTTTGGATGACATTATGCATCAAGGTTTCATGCAAGATTGGAGTGATTTGGTAAAATGTCAAGACCAGGCAATTTACACTGCGCATAAAAGATGAAGAGTATGCTACAGACTTAGCGGAATAGTCGAAAACGGACGCCATTAAATTGCTATATATGATATCTGTCCTCCTGTATGGCAGCGTATAGTGGAGGATATCCTCAAAGATGAAGAGGTGACCTGAAGCAACAGGAATCTGGTTTTTACAAAAGGATGCTGAGCCTACTGTGGACCGAACACGTGAGTTTTGGAGAAAATTGAAACTAAAAGGAAACTTATACATAACACCAGGAAGACACAGTTAAGGTTTCTAGGGCACATAATGAGGAAGGAAGGCTTGGAAAATCTGATACTCACAAGACAGATAGAGGACAAGAGGGAAAGAAGAAGATAACGCATAACTTAATGAGCTTGAGGAAATGGCTGACGGAACAGAGTTTGGGAGAAATCGCAGGGCAAGCTTTATTAAGAGCTACAGGAAGTTGTGGAAAGCCATGTTCGCCTACCTATTGAAGAGACACTGTACATGAAGAAGTTGGAGTCCCAAGTTTCTTTGACTCTAAAAAAAGCCACCATTCGCTTATGTTATATTGCTTCACACTCATAGCCTTTAACAATCTGTTGTAGAGTGATTTCACAGTGGAGGCTTGTATTTGTACCAAGTCGGTCCTAAAATAGGTTCGACGTACAAAACGTTAGGAACTTGATATGTATTACGCAGAGTAAATAGTTGTGGTCGCTGATACTTTAGTATCTGACTAACGGTCGTCCGGCATCGACTCTCTGCCCGACCCACTGACGATATTCAGTAACCCCCCAATTGGGGCGGCATGTGGCACAAGGTCGGTTATTTATTGTGGGTTTTCCGAGCCTGTGGGCTCGACCCAAAAATATACCCGTTGAACCCGTATAAACGGGTTCAGGGCCGGTTTACCTCCCCGAACGAGACACCGCTCCTCGGGTTCCTCCCCGCTTGAAGGCAGAGATTTCAACCGGAACTCAGACTGAACTCAGACCGACCCACTGAGCGACTCCTTACTCTTACTACTCCTACCTGGGAGAGTCTATTAACTATAGAATAGGTGTGTTCCACTATAACACAAGCCTGATATATCATGATAATAGACAAAATCGATGCCAGTTGCAAAAGTTACAAATCTTTTTTCTTTGTTGTGATAAAATGTTACTTTTGTATCATTTCGAAACAAATTCTTGTCTTGAATCTCACAGTTTTGATAAACCTTTCTATACACCTAAAACTTTTATCAAGTTCATTTAATCTTGTCTGATTAATAGCCTTATGCCTTGCAGTTGAAACATCTAGGAAATCCGTTCCACCGTTAAATTTAGGATCATTCTCCGACATATCAGTATTTTATTCGTTTGGAGCACTGGGCGAATTGCTGGATCCAGATTTGGGTAGATTTTCTGTTATTTCCTTCTTATTAATGGAATTAAAAAAAAGTTTAAAAGGGACGATTCGTTTCAGTGTATTGATTTTCTAAGAGAGGCTTAGATGTGGCACATGGCCGGAAGTATGGGGCACCCAGTGAGGATCGAACTCACTATTCAGTTGTAACAGTTTTAGCAAGACCAGCTTGCTAACCATTACACCACGCCGAGGCGCCCATAGAGATTTTCCAAGCGCAGCTTAGATGTGGCACAAGGCCGAAAGTATGGGGCATCCAGTGAGGATCGAACTCACTTTTTAGTAGTAACTGATCTAGCGAGACAAACTTGTTAACCATTACACCACACCGAGGTGCCCCAATTCGTTCCAGTGTTGGTGACCTGGTGGGTCTCAGCAGTGAAGGTCTGAACTGGTGGAACTGAGGAATGTAGCTCGTTAGAACATTTTTGCCATGGAAACAGAGTTCCATTCTGAAAGTTTCTCCCCAGAAACACCTACTTACGTGTGAGAGACTCGTAGAGAGGATGCCCCCCCGCCTTGGCTAAAATCTCGACTATTAGGGACAAACGTTATCTTTCCTACATAACATCATAATCATCACATCATAACTCCTCCACCTATGTTCATAAAACAACTTCACACAGTAGGCCTCTGACTTGAGTGGCTCTTGGGAGTTGTGATGGGGGAACAATTAGTAAAAAAAAATTAATGGTGATTCTGAAATACATTGTGATTTTCAAGATAAAACTAACACTGTTTAAAAATACAACATTCTGACAACTCAGATTAGAAAATAAATAATTCACATTTTATCAGTGTCTCATGGAACAAAAACTTAATGTTGCGGGCTAAACTGGATGCCTTTTTTGAAATCGGCTTCCCAATTTAGACAAAAAATAAAAAATAATAAAAATCACCACAGAAAATATTAAATTTTGTTGGTCCAGGTAATACCAAACCAGAGCAAATTTGACCGATAAGCGATTATAAGTGCTTT